GTAGTGGGGCCTGCTCCACTACTCACCAAATGCACAAAAGACATAGCATATGGCGGTGTATGGTTCCATGTTTTAGCAGAAGATTCATTCTACGAATATTATATACATTTGGTGAATGGTGGAGGGAGGCCCTGAGAATCACGTGGAGACACGAACAGGGTCTAGCTGAATTGGTGACCTATAACTGCCGAGCTACAGCCCTGAACTCAAATCCACAGCATATATTGGTGGTCTGCCCCCATCTCTTCCTCTCTTGACGAGGCCATCCTTCTCATTAAAGCGCCGGTCCTCAATGGCTCCACATATGCTGTAGGAGCCATTCGAGGTACTTGCAGGGGCCCTCAAGTTGACGTGAAGGAGACCTTTTGTTCTCTCTCTCTCTCTCTCTCTCTCTCTCTCTCTCTCTCTCTTGGGGCCTGTCTTTTTTTTTCTTTTTTTTTTAAATCGTGCACAGGGCGCATCTCCCTCAGCGCGCGCACCGCGCACAGTGCGCGCGCTGTCATTCCAGCGCACAGCGCAGTGCCCAGTGCGCACCGCACAGCGCATGGCGCACAGTGCACACGCTGTCATTCCAGCGCACAGCGCAGTGTGCACCGACGCTCACCGCACTGCGCACTGGTGCGCCACAACTATGCTTGAAAGTATGAAAGTAGTATAGATCCAGGGTAGAAAGTATTTGTCATCCTCAATCTGAGTGGCGTATGAGTAGAAGGATTGGGAATCGTTGGCGAGAGGTGCCAAGGTAAAGTAGGGAAGAAGGTGACAGCGCCATGACATTAAAACTCATGTTATCTTCTTCTTGGGACGTTTCCTTCCAAGTGGGCATGAGAAATAGCCTCAAATAGCTGTCTGGGAAATCAGTCTTGACCTTTAGGTAGCGGCATTACTCTCCCCAGTAGTTTTTTTTTTTCTCTTTTTCATCCCCAACGAATCCTCAAAGGGGACGCAGCTGACCATTGACCCAGGCATGCGACCCCTTTTTTCCCCTGTGCGCCGCACATGCCGTGCACCGCACTGTGTGGGTCAGCTTGCATGCTGTACGTGTGGTAATGTTCCACACGACATGAACTTGCATCAAGTTGCATGTATTCTCCTGACCTTTTCTGTTCAATCTTTTGCCTCATCAACTTGCGCTCCTGAGCTTTTCTGTCCAATCTATTGCCTCATCAGCTGCTGGCTCCTGACCTTTTCTGTCGAATCTTTTGCCTTGTCAACTTGCTTGGTTGTACATCTTCAGTCTCCTCTTGCTGTGGAGGGACATGTCGCAGTTGTTGGACATTGGATGCTTGCATCATTTGCCAGGGAGGAAAGGGGAAAAAACAGAGTAGCCGACCTCCAAACTATGCTTCGCACAGGTTCACAACGTTGCACCGCTGCTCCTGAACATACCCTTTCTCTAATGTCCTTGGCCTACCCGATGACTGTTGCCGTCTCTCAAGAATGCGCTCTTCTTCCTTACCCAGATCGAGCTCTGTTGCGCATTACGCACTTTCAGCAATCGTTGATCCAGAAACGTGTTGCGCCAAGGCAATTGGTTTTCTAGGCCCTATTATGATTGCTAGCCACTGCGCTCGGGTGAGACCTGTGTACACCAGCTTGCAGCTCAAGAGGCGATCATGGAATTTCAAAAGCGCCAAGAGCACAACTGGATACTTTGCCAACATTTCTAAGGTTTCAAAATGAAAAGAAAGTATGCACACTCTCAGCTCGCTGTAATCAGTATGTACTATGTATAGTTGAGATTGAGATGTCAAACTGTACATACCACATGGCCTTGTACTGTAAGCTGTGCAGTGGCTTGGATTGCTCAAATTATTTACGGTTGTTGTTGTTTGTCATTTTACCATCGGCTTTGCAGCTTGAGGAGGAGCCTGGGAAATTCCCATCACTCATTGCCACGATTAATGATGAAGAAGAGCGAGTGAGGAAGTTTGAGCAAACCATTGAGCGTGAAAGAATGGTGAGCATGTACTGTTCTCTTACTTCTTCAAGAAGCTGTAACCCGCAGTTTCTAGGGTGGCAAAAAAATGGCATGATCAGTCACAAAATCAATGTTCAGTGACGCTGGACCCGGTTTCCAGCAGGTGCTGCTCCCCACCAATAGATGGAGCCTCTATGGCAGTGCTAGCGGTGACTGCTCTTACCAAAAAAAAAAAAAAAAAAGGGTGGCCAGTGAAGGGGGGGGGGGGGGCAGGGGAGCTTTGTGACGTTAGTACCTCCAGAACTCCTTGGCTCAAACCCTTCACCCACCTATCTAGTGCTTGCCAGAGACAGCAGGGAGGGGAAACAAAAAAGCTCAAAAAAGAAACCCTGAAATCTGAAGTCCGGACCCCCATTTTAAAAATTTATTTGCAAAAATTCCAAGAATTGGTAGTCCCATTTTCTGCGAAAATGCCAGGAATCAGTTTTGTGAACTCGGCCACGTTTTGGGGAAAACTCAGTTTTCAGCAACTTGGTGTTATCCACAGTATTTTCTGGCATTACGCTACCATGCACACCATCAAAACCTTCTGGAGTCTGGGCGAAAAAAAAGGGAAAAACATTTAAAACAACCAAATCATATTTCAATCCGATACATACCCTATCTCTACGTCTGTGCACCAAGGCAACCCTTTGACGCCAGCAATCTTTTTGCTAAATGACCAACAGATTTCAATCCAATACATACCCTATCTCAAGGACTGTGCACCAATGCGACCCTTTGACCCCAGCAGTCGTTTTGTTGCTCCTAATGGAAGAAATCGCCTCTTTCCTCGGGAAGGACCCTTCAATTGATAGATTGTCTACCCAGAGCACCGATCCCTCAATGACTTTGCCCTCCCAGCTGTCCTGATTTGTGTGGACGACCTGACAGTTCTAATTAGAGAAACTGTTTCTTCCGTTCAAGCACTAGTCTAAGCAATGGAGGCATTCAAGCTTTCATCAGAAATGAGGGTCAACTGGTCTACGGCAATAGGCTGGTGGCTAGCCAAGATGCGCCCCCCCCCCCCCCCCCCCCCCC